TTGAACTCGACACCAGTCCGGTCATCAGTTATTCCTTTAATATAAAACAGTAACAGAAAGAATGAGGCCACACCAAAGAAGATCTGGTTGAAGGACATGTCATCATTGTCACTGCAGTTGTAGATGTCTGTAGAAATCAAATCTATGTTCAACATGTAGCCTAAGACTGAGGTCTGCCTACACAGGACACCAAACACAGTTACACAGCTGGAGCTACAGGTACACTACTCCTGAACGCAGGAGACACATCAACATGAACCAGGCAATGAGATGGAGATGATCCACGCTGCACCTTCAAACCTCCATTCCTTGTCTTCCATGACAGTGTGAGTGAGGGCGCGAGGGAAGGAAGCACGGCAGATGTTGTGTTAGAGCGAACGAGCTAATCTGTCATGAGTTTCTGACACAGGGGAACACGCTGTACACATCAGCTTTCCAAGTAAGTCCTCCTTTACGGAGTGGAGATGAGTTTGTGTTTGTGAGGATAGAAAAGAGGTTGGCAAGAGTATTAACAAGGTTTACAGCAGTGACACTGTGGGGGTGTGTGGAGGTCATGCAGCTCCACCTGCACCACCTGCTGTAAGAGTAACACACTAAGAATTGCAGCAGCACTTCTCACAGAGACGTCTGTACATGTGCTGCTGACAGGATGAGCCTGGATCAGCAGATCCCATCGCTGAGCCCTGTGAGGAGCATTTGGAGTAATTGGAGGGAAAACACTAATTTCATGTGCACAAACAGGCTTTGGCATTAAAACGTGGTCGGTCTGTCCCAGCGAGGGTTTAACTGTCATCGTGTCCTGTCGTAGAAGGGCGTGTTTGCTGCGGACTGTGGTGAAGTGCATGGCGAGGTCAGCTGCTCGTTGGGTGTCTTCTGCCCGGCCCAGGTCTGGACTCAGTCCTCTTTGGCTTGGTGCTGTTCACACATGATGAGGACTGACGTCTGGAGCTGATGCTGCATCTGCACTCACCGGTTCTGCAGAAGAGGTGGACAGAAAGAGTCTGTAGCAGTATGGTAAGAGGAGGCAGTGGTGCCTGCTGCGAGGGGGAAACAACCCTTTGGATAAAGCAAACACAAATAGAGGCAGGAAAATACCAGGTTCAGCTGTGAGGGCAGCAGC